AAGGTTAGAAAATTCTGGTTTAGACTGATCGCTATTGACTTGTCGAATATATTTTCTTGTGGGTCAAAAGTGTACAAACATCTTGTTGACAAATTTTCCGATCACTCGTTATTAGAATTTCTATTAATTAATTCTTGTGTAGATGCAATGGCTAAATGAAAACGCTCTTAAATCAAGTTTTGCTTCACAAAAATTAAAAACTGAATTAATTAATTATATACGTGAAAATTATACAAATTGTTATCAACAAACAATTTTTCGTCAACAATTTCAAGAAATAACAAACAAATGGCAACAAGATATGAATAATATTATTGATAAAAATGCTCAAATAGCTTTGAAATTTGCTATGAAAATGCGTCAAGAAAAAATGCTTAAACGTCAAATTCAACAACAAGAAATTCAAACAAAATTATTTGAAGAAGAAGAAGAAAATGATGATGATAATCAACTAGAATAAATAATAAAGAAAAAGAAAATAGCCAATAAAATATTTGTTAATCTAGATGCATAGCTATGTTCCACAGATGTTTTTATTATTTATTTCATTCTTTATAAAACATTTTATATACTCAGACGAGCACGTACATGATATGAGAATAAATACCATATGTATATGTAATAATAGATATAAATACTACTGTTCTACGTATATGTTAAAACCAAAATGCTGCATATCACTCATCTGTTCTTTTTCAGTTTTTTTATTGTTCGTAGTCATAGTGAATTATCGCGTATTAAAGTTGATCTAAATACTCAACATTTTATTGATGAATATGGTCGTGTACGTATATTTCATGGTGTTAATGTTGTTTATAAAGTTCCACCTTATCTACCAGATTTAACTCATTTTGATCCACAAAATTCTTTAACTGATGATGATTTAAATAATTTACATCAATGGGGTTTTAATGTTATTCGTTTTTATACATCATGGATGGGTGTAAATCCAAAATCAGATGATAATATTAATCAAGACTATCTTTCACAATTATCAACAGCTATACAAATGATGGAAAATAAAGGCATTTATGCATTACTTGATTGTCATCAAGATGTTTTCTCAAGATACTTTTGTGGTGAAGGTGTACCTGATTGGATAGCACAAAAATTAGGTGATTCAACAGTTAAAGAGTTTCCATTTCCGATTGCTCCTAATATGACACGAGAACCTGATACAGGTTATCCAAAACTTGATGAATGTCTTAAACATCCGTTTTTTGAATATTATTTTGCTGAAGCTGTTGTACATGGATTTAAAATGCTGTAAGTATGGTATCGGAAATGGAAAATTAAAATAGAAACTTTCTTTTGTTTCTATATGTTCAGATGGAGAATGATGAGTTGATCAAGCAGATGTGCATTGTCAATTTCTTTGAATGATTTTTTCTTTATGGGAATATTTTCAATTTATTTTTAGATAACCTGCTGTTTTGTGAAAAATAGATTAATTTTCGATTATCGACAAATTTTTGATTTTTTCATTTCTTTTGAATCGAAAAAAACGGTCTATTTCAGATTTAGCGTGAAAAACTAAATGTGAGAAACTCATTTAT